AATCAAAGAAGAAGTCATGAAGAAACTGAATTAAAAATTCTCATTTGAATAAAAATGAAAAATATAGCATACCAAAACTTACAGAATTCAGAGAAAGCACTACACAGAAATTTATAGCTATAAATTACTAAACTGTAAAAGGAGAAATTTCTCAAACCAGCAGCCTACTTTTACAGTTTATGAAATAGGAAAGACAAAAGAACACTAAGTTCAAAAACTAGTAGAATGAGAGAAATAATAAGGATTAGCAGAGAGATGAGTGGACTATAGAACAGGAAAGCAATGCAAGGAACTGACCAAACCAAAAGATAGTGTTTGAAAAATAAACAATATTGACAAAAATTTGGATAGACTAAGAGAAAAGAGGGAAAAGAGGTAAATAATTAAAAATAGAAGCAACAGAAGGGGTCTGGCATGATAGCCCAACGACTAACTCCTCACCTTGCATGCACTGTGATCCCATATGGGTGCTGGTTCATGTCCTAGGTGCTTCAGTTCCCATCCAGCTCCCTGCCTGTGGCCTGGGAAAGCAGTTGAAGACGGCCCAAAGCCTTGGGACCCTGCACCTGTGTAGGACACCCAGAAGAAGCTCCTGGTTCCTGGCTTCAGAGCAGCTCAGTTCCGGTTGTTGTGACCACCTGGGGAGTGAACCAGAGAATGGAAGATCTTTCTGTCTGTATCTCCTTCTCTCTGGAAATCTGTATTTCTAATTGAAATAATAACAACAACAACAAAAAATATTTTTAAATGTTAAAAAAGTAACAGGAGACATTAAAATATGCACTACAGAAAAAAGATAAGAGACACAGTAAACCATGAGATAATCAACATGAATTGGACAAATTCTTATAAGCTCACAAATTATCAAGTGACTCAACAAGAAATAGAAAACTTGAACACGAACCCAGGAAGTTCCTGGATCCTGGCTTCGGATCGGCGCAGCACTGGCCATTGTGGTCACTTGGGGAGTGAACCATCAGATGGAAGATCTTCCTCTCTGTCTCTCCTCCTCTCTGTATATCTGACTTTCCAATAAAATCAATAAATAAATCTTAAAAAAAAAAAAAGGTCGATTGAGCCAAGTCAAATAGACTTTTCTTCTTTTTTTTTTAAGATTTATTTTTAAATTTTTATTGGAAATAAAATATACAGAGTATATTTTAAAATAAGATATACAGAGAGGAGGAGAGACAGAGAGGGAGATCTTCCGTCTGATACTTCACTCCCCGAGTTGCCACAATGGCCAGAGCCGAGCCAAACCGAAGCCAGGAGCCAGGCGCCTCTTCTGGGTCTGCCTTGTAGGTGCAGGGTCCCAAGGCTTTGGGCCTTCCTCGACTGCTTTCCCAGGCCACAAGCAGGGAGCTGGATGGGAAGCGGGGCTCCCGGAATTTAGAACCAGCTCCTATATGGGATCCTGAGGTGCGCAAGGCAAGGACTTTAGCCTCTGGGCTGCCGAGCCGGTCCCAAACAGACCTTTATTTTCAATAAAGCAATCAGGCAGCTGCAGCTCTCTTCGTGCACTCAGAACTGCCTTTCTCTCTTCCTAGTGAGACTCATCCAGGAGGCACACCCGTGTGGGGTAGTGAGTGGGATGCGGCTGGGTGATGAGTGGAGAATCGGCAACCTTTCCCTGTCATTCCCTCAGGGGGAGCTAGCTGCACAGAGCCCCGCAGACAAGGTGCTCCGCTATTCCTGCAGGGGGCAGGGCTCGAGGACCTTCCCGTGAACCTGAGGAGAAGTTCCTGAGGCGCCAGCCCCTGTCTGCGCAAGGCTGCGGCGTCGGAAGCCACAAGCCCTAGCTGAACGATGGAGTGAGAGGAGCATTTTAAATATCGCTCGAAAACGAGTTAAGGAATCCTACTGGGAGCTTTTTTTCCGTAAGTTCCCCCCCCCCCCATACGTCATTTCATTTCATGTTCCATCCAAACCCTCCCAAAGGGGAGTCTGGGAGTCGCCGATGTCAAGTGTAGCGCGCGTCGGGGATCCCACGGGCGCTACACAGTAGATCCTGGAGCCGGATCGAAGCCTCCCCTCCGGCTCCCAGAATCTTGCTGGCCAGGCTGTGTGACCTGGAACTGACCCCTTCCCCCTGAGGAGAAGGAGCTCACCTCAGGTGACAGCCTCAGGTGACGGCGTCCCCCACAGCCTGCGTGGCAGACCCTCGCCAGAGCGGTGTGCGTGCGCCTCCTCGGGCAGCAGGCACGGCGGCGCTGCCACCGCCAGAGCAGAGCTGGCAGGAGCGGTCCCGGACACCATGCAGAGGAAGAATTCTATATTTGGGCAGGAAAACGGAATTTTGTTTTCCCCTAAGCGGGAGGACCACTTGCTTCGGACTTGTCCCCATCAGTGAAGTGAATTCCCCCCCCCCCCCCTTCTTGTTCCTTTAATGCCCCGCGCGGTCCCCTGACTGCTCTCCTTCAAGTCTCCCTGTCTTACCTGAGGTGCCATTCCCCGTTCGCCATTTTTTTAGCACAGTCTTCGGCGCCCACGCTTGGGTGGGTGGGGAGGGGAGGGAGCCTGGTCGCCGGGGTTGGAAGTGTCCTTTCTCACCCCCCCCCCCCAGGACAGCCCTGCAAAGCCTGTGGAATGGTCCTGCTTGAGGGGTCATAAAACTGGGGCTCGACCACCCCTGAGGCAAGGGGAGGTGAAAAGGTCAGCCTGGCCGCTCCTTGCTCTCTGCTTGCCCTTTCGGGTTGCCATGGGTCAACTTGCTACAGTTTCTCGAAAGGTCCACGTGCCCGTTGGCTGCACCCCCGCGCATCACCCCCATTGGCTGTGCGGGTCTGGAGACAGGGCAGCGATTGGTTCCCAGTCTGGACCCGGGTTGAGCGGGCGGGAGCAGATGGGTTTTCTGCCTCCCCACACTCTGGCCAGCAGTCCTGGTGACTGCCATCAGAGCCTGGGGACACCTGCTGCAAGCCTCGAGAGTGGCGGCCGTCGTGTGCACGGGCGTCCTGCTGTATCCGCGTGTGAGTAGCCACTAACCCCTCGCCTCCAGCCCGGCCTCATCCAGATGCCCTTGGGGATGCGAGCGGGCTGGTGTTTGCAAACTGAGCCCCTTGCTAGGGTAGCAGATCCGTGGACACTTAGGGCTGAGTTCATATGAGGGTCTGTCACCGCGCCCCCGGACGCGTTTGAAAAAGACTTGGAGCTTTGCTTTATTTAAATCTATGCAACCTACTCTGTGGAGAATTGAGGGCAGTGGCCCCAGTGGCAATACAGCTGTATTGTCTAGTCCATTCTGCGTTTGCCTGAAGTTTGTTCCATGAGAATGTGTCTGGCTCAAATGTTTTGGATGTTTTGTGAAGTGATGCTTAAAAATGAAAGTTCTTCTGAAACCTGGAGGCTACAATTTTTCTAAGTTTAGGAAGTTGTTACTGTTTTGAATGGCAGGTCTAAGTGGGTATTGTTTTTTTTTTTGTTTTTGTTTTTTTTTGAATAGGCAACTATTTGCTCATGAAAGTCCTTTGCTGTACAGATAAATAATTTTTAAAAAGTGTGGCACGGAACTGTGTGAATCCTCAGGAAATGGCATTTTAAAGGAATGTCTCAATAAAACTGTCTTCTGACTGAATTGGACATGAAGGTCCTGCCCCCTAAGCTAATCTCATGGACGGCAGTGAGCTTTCAAAGGAACATTTTGAACATGGCAATGAGGTTTATAAAGGGAGAGTTATAGTAGCCATTCCAAGATATCTAACATTATTTCAGTCCTGCAGAATGGGGGGTGGGGATGGTGCTGCTGGGTAAACCTTTGAAAATTATTATTATTATTTTCCGTAGTATGTGTTTATAGGTAGGGGAGTCCTCCTTCCTTCTCCCCATCCTCCTTTCCCATTTTCCCTCCCGCCATTTCCCCCTAAGTTATCACAGTAGTATAGTCCTTTAGTAACCGTTACTAGTTTAACTTTCTGTTATATAAGTGCGTCATGGCTTTGTAGGTATAGATGGAAACTTCTAGACTCTTTAGGGCCCTGCCATGGTATGTTTAACCGTTCATCGGGAATCCTTTTATTCAACGATGGAGAACAGATCTTAAGCGAGCATCTTGCTGATTTCTTGCCCAAACAAGATTAAATTAGGAACCAGGGTGATTAGGAAACTTCTTAGAGAAATCACAGCTTACACTGAGCACCGAGGAACAAGGTGGATGCAGATGGGTAGAAAGTGAGAGTGAGACGCAAGAGGAGCAGTGGTCTGTGAATTAGAGGCTGCCCTGGAGAGCAGGAGTTTCTTTTGCTGAAAAAATAAAAGTGAAAGGAAGGGAAAACTAGGAGGCAGAATTCTGGGGAGAGGATACTTAAAATGAAGCCAGTTCTAACATAGTGTTAACATCTGCTTAGCCCAGTGTGGGAAGGTTTCCTCCCATCTTCCCTGTGTTGCCTCCCCTCCCTGCCCCTGGGATGCAGATTCCTGTTAGCTCCAGAGGCACCTCCTGGTTTGTAAGCGCCAAGAGGACCACCTCAGCATCCACCAGGAACATGGCCGTGGAGAGTCAGGCGATTGCTTGCTTTCACAGGTGGCAGGTGCATTCTTTGTTTCCTTTCGATGTCTGATACATACACAGAAATGTGCACAGCTCTAAAGCACCCATCCACCTTGATGGATTTTTTCACATATGCCCCTGCTCAGAACAGAGGCACAGGGGTGGGGAAGACGGGTGGGTTTTTCTCGGGTAGGAAAGGCCTCTCAGGGTAGGACAGTACAGAAACGGACAGCTGCCAGGTGAGTATCTTTCAAGGGCTGGTACCTAGCTGGGGTCAGCTCCAGTGGCCAAGCCCAATGTGGGTGGCTTGTGTCTGTAAGAGCTGAGCGTCAATGACAGCTATTATGTCGTCTGTGACTGATCTTATGTCTGTGATTGGTTGTATTCATCGGTTTGGGATTCTTGACCCAGGGTAGGGGGAGTGTCATGTTCTGTTTCCATCTGCCTTCCTTTTCCTTCTCTCCTGTTTTTATCAGGGTGCGAGAGAAAGCACAATATTACATTGCAGCTTATCATGGCTGCCTTCGCAAAAGGCAACGACCCTAATGGTGGAGTGACACCTGAGCTGCCGACGCTGCAGCTGGAGACACGCGTGGAACGAAGACGCCTGTCTCAGGCCCGCCACCGAGCCACCCTGGCAGGATTATTCCATGATCTCAGGAAGGCCGTGTACTCCCAGTCGGATCTCACAGCCTCCAAGGTACTGGGACCTGGCTGTAGGGAAAGAGATATCTCCTTTAAACGGGGACTTGGGTGCTCAGCACGATGGCTCAATGGCTGAATCCTCCCCTTGCAAGTTCAGAGATCCCATATGGGCATTGATTCATGTCCTGGCTGTTCCACTTCCCATCCAGCTCCCTGCTTGTGGCTTGGGAAAGCAGTTGAGGATGGCCCAAAGCCTTGGGACCCTGCACCTGTGTGGGAGACTCAGAAGAAGCTCCTGGCTCCTGGCCTTGGATGAGCTCAGCTCTGGCCGTTGTGGTCATTTTGGGAAGTGACCCAGCTAATGAAAGATCTTTCTGTCTCCTCTCTGTCAATCTGATCTGCCTTTCTATAAAAATAAATTAATTTTATTTTTTAATAAAAGAGGAGGTGCTGGCCCATGAGGAGTTGCTGGCCGCATCCCTGCCTTGTCCCAGAACACTCTAGAACAAGCCCAAGATTCTGGCAGGTTAACCCCTGGTTCCAGGTCCTCACTGACTTGACAAACTGCATAATCCTGAGCTTCAGGGCTGGGGACAGCAGGATGGGCGGGCACACGGGCTGAGCTGTGCTCTGAAGGACTGTTCGGAGCTCCCTTTGTATTAGAGAGAGGAGTGCTCCCACAGTGGCTGCTGTTCTCCTCCCCTTTGGGTCTGCAGTGATCCAGCTCCCCAAGTCTCCTGCAATTTCAGGCAGCAGCCAGAATCCATAGAAACCCAGAGAAGCAAAACTGCAGCTGTGTGTCCCTGGCAGCCCCACGCTCTGGTGGCAGTTCCTAAGCGAGGCCTGCCTCTGCCGGCCGCTTGGCCTCTGTTTATGCATTCAGGCCTGCGTGCTCTGCCCACCCCAGCACCCCACTTCATCTGCTCTGCCCACCCCAAGCTGCCTTCTTGACTCCTGCCATTGGAGCCCTTCCTTTGTACCCTGCCACAGCCTTGGCATCTGCCCCCTCTTAGCGCTGGCTTCAGTCTGCTTTCCCTGACTCCCCTGGTAGACTGTTGACAGCCTGAGAGCAGGGTCTGTCCTGGGTGCTGGATTCCCGGGCTTAGCTCACAGCCTTGCCCGTACACCTCCCTGAGGCCTGCCCTTAATACTCCCAGCCCTGACCACAGGGCTCAGTGGTCAACCCGATAACCAGCACTAAGTATTTCACTTCTCTCTCTAATACCTTGCAGTTACCATTGGACTTTAATAGATAGCAGGATGGAGGGACCCGCAGAAGGAAGGGAGAAAGGGTGGAAGGATGGAAGGAAGGAAGAGGGCAGAGGGAAAGAGAGGGAAGGGCAGAAATCCAGAATTGAAGTTGACAGCATTTTAAACATTTTACTTGTTTGAAAGGCAGAGTTATAGAGTCAGAGGGAGGAAAGAGATCATCCATCCACTGGTTCATTTACCAAATGGCTGGCGCTGGACGAGGCTGAAACCAGGAGCCTGGAGCTCCACCTGGGCCCCCATGTGGTGGCAGGAGCCTAAGTATTTGAGCCATCCTCCTGTGCTTCCCTAGGAGCATTAGCAGGGAGCTGGGTAGGAAGTAGAGCAGCTGGGACTTGAACCGGTGCCGATGTGGAATGCTGGAGTTGCAGGCAACAGCTTAACTACACTCTACTACTGCACTGGCCCCAAGCTGAAAGCAGTTGATGAAATTTTACATCATCTAGAGTACACGCATTTGGCAATAACAATATATAGTGACTACCAGCTTCCTGTTAACCAGCCAGGCGCACACTGAGCCAGCCCGGGCGTGGCATCACTGGCTGGAGCTCCTCAGTCCCCTTTTCTTCCACCTTCCAGCAGCCTGCACAGGCATTTGCGGAAGTCAGCCTGATCCATTCTGAAAACTTAGGTATGTCTGGGAGAACCCATCTCTAGGGTATAAAGGTGGCTTCATGCCTTCTGTACGCCAAAACGCAGTTCGTGTTTCACTGACAAGGTGAGGGGCTGTGACCCTGCGTCTCTGAGAACGTGCCCTCGGTCCAAGGAAGCGGTTCTGCGTCCCGCACATCAGTGTCTGCAGGGAAAGGCTGAGTTCCCGCTTTTTCTCTCTTTCCAGTGGCAGGTTCTCAATAAGGCGAAGAATCGCATTCAGGAACTGGAGCGCAACCTGGACACTCTGCTGAAGCTGAAAGGTAAGCGGCCCCTCCCTGGAGAAGGCCGGCTTGGGTTTCTTATGAAACCTGGAGAGATTGGGTCACACGGAGTCAACAGGCATGGACTGAAAGCCTACTGTGTGTCAAGCGCGATGCTTGAACTAAGACTGAGACTGGCGCCCTGTCCGAAGGCAGGAGTCACCAGCCTGCCTGGTCATTGAAAGGCCAGAGAGGAAGGCAGGAGAAACTCAAGAGGAATCTGTTCTTCCTTTGCCCTCACCCCTGCCCCCTGCAGAGTCCTTCCACCTGGAAGATGGGCTTGCGAGCACCTTACAGGAGGTCAAGGAAGAATATGTGAGAATGTACTCTGGAAATGACAGGTAAGACCCCTCAAGCGCCAAGAGCACGGGGGCCCGTCGTCTTGCACCCACAGCCTGGATGCTGTGTCAAAGGTTCACTTGTACCTCCCGTGCAGAGCGCACCCGGAGCTGCTCTCACCCATCCCAGACAGGCCTGGACGGCGCATGCTTTTTTTTCTCTGTGATCCCAGGAACTTGAATTGGATCCCCCACCCTGCTATAAATATGATCCATGCTTATTATAGAAGAGGTAGAAAATACAGAAATGCCTGGAAATGCATCATCTCACTGCTCACAGAAAGTCAATGTGTTTTGAAGCATATCTAATCTAGTTTTGAACTTCGCAATTATTTATATTTAAAAGGCAGAATGACAGAGATAGAGATTTTTCCACTTGCTGGTTCACTCCTCAAACAGTCACAATAGGCAGGGCTGGGCTAGGAACTTTATCCCGGTCTCCCACATGGGTGGCAAGAGGTTCATCCGTACTTGAGCTACTCTCAGCTGTTTCTGACAGACACATTAGCAAGGAGCTGAGCAGGAAGTGGAGCAGCCGGACACGAACCAGCATTTGTATATGTGCTGGCATGTGATGGCTTAACCCTCTTCGCCACGTCAGCCCTGGTGAGGTCACTCCTGGCATCTTTAATGTGAGCGGCAGAGAGACAGAGGAACGAAAGGAGACAGCTCCCATCTGCTGGTTCCTTTCTCCAGTGTCCACCATGGCTGGGCCACAGCAAAGTTGAGAGGCGGGAGCTCAACCAGACATCCCACGTGGGTGGCAGGGGCTCACATCCCGGGGTCTGGACCCCTGCCTCGCCCTGCATCTGTGCCAGCATGATGCTGTGGCTGGCAGCCAGGACTGGACTGCAAACACCTTAACTACTGGCTCAATGTCTGTATTATCTTCCAAACGGTGTGACAATGAATGCTATTATATCCTACAGGAAACAGGAGAAAGTAATAGATTATTACAACATAAGCAAAATTTACATGGTAGACAACATAAAAATGCAGGAAAAGACCAAGAAAATAACGAGCCTGTTAGCTTACTCAGAACAGACGGCTTTGAACATCAGGTTAGCCACTGAGAGAAGCTGTACGAATGAGGAATTGTCAGGTAGTCCATGGAAGTACTTCTTACAGAAAAACAACGTGTACATTTTAAAATATTCTTTTTAAAAATATGTATTTACTTTTATTGGAAAGGGAGATATACAGAGAGAAGGAGAGACAGAAAGATCTTCCATCTGCTGGTTCACTCCCTAAGTGACTGTAATTTAAGCTGATCCGAATCCAGCATCCAGGAGCTTCTTCCAGATCTCCCACGCAGGTGCAGGGTTCCAAGGCTTTGGACCGTCCTCAACTGCTTTTCCAGACCACAAGCAGGGAGCTGGAAGGGAAGTGGAGCTGCCAGGATTAGAACCAGTGTCCATATGGGTCTCAGCGCATGTAAGACAAGGATTTAGCCACCAGGCTATCACGCTGGGCCCTCAAAATATTCTTGTACCAAGATAAATTTAGCTTCTAATTCACTTTTCCACAAACTTTTCTTAATGTGTGTTGGATGTACATGCCGTGTGTTGGTAGCCATGTTTTAAGAACCAGAAGAGGAGTGGCATTATGGCATAGCTGGTAAAACTGTGTCCCCTCGTGCTGGCGTCCTCTGTGGGTGTTTGAGTCTTGGCTGCTTCACTTCCGAGACAGTTTCCTGCTAATGTGCCTGGGAAAGCAGTGGAGGAGGGCTTGGGTCCTTGGGCCCCTCACCCCTCACCCACATGGGAGCAGTTCCCGGCTCCTGACTTTCAGCTGGCCCAGCTCTGATCATTTGGAAAATAAGTCAGCCTATGAAAGATGTCTCCCTCTCTGTATGTCATTCTCTCTCTAATTCTTCCTTTCAAATAGATAGATGATAATAAATAAGTAAAAATCTAACATTCACATTGATACCAGCCCCCTTGCATTCCTAGAATGAAGCCTCTTGCTGTAGGATGTGTTCCGCTGTTTTGAGCTGTGGAGCTATTGTGTTCATGTCCATGACCACTGTTACTCTCTCCTTGTCTTGGCCCGATGCAGCTTTGCTCAGAATGACTCCTTTCTCTGGTGCCTGACTGAGACACCTGGGAAAGACATCGAGGAGGAGGTGGAGGAGGCAGCCGTGAGAGAGGATGAGCAGGAGGAGGAAAAGGAGGAGGTGAAGCAGGAAGACGTGGAGGAGGAGGAAGGAGAGAACCACGTGGAGCTCTTGGCCTCCCCAGACACTCTGTCTACAGATCTCATGGAGTTTGAACGGTGTGCGGAAATGGCTAGGGTAGCAGGGGCCCCTCACGGGAAGGGGGCAGGCCGGGGCGTGCTGCAGTCTCAGAGCTTCTGAACCTGGGAAGCTGCAGGATGTCCCAGCTAGGAGGGACTTCGGGTGGAACAGGCAGAAGCTGGAGGAGTCATCTTGAAGTTGCAGTGTATGCTGGGTGCCTGGTTGGGATGCACTCAGGGGCACTTAATGGTGATTATGGGGGCTAACTGTTCCTTTCTCCCAAACTGCGCCCACACAGGTGTGGGTCCCCCAACTCCATTTTCAACAGCATAGCTAATCTTGCAGTAAGAAAGGAAGTGGATGAGTGGCTTGGACGGACTTCCTGCCACTGCCTTCTTCACAGACACAAGAGACCTCAGTAGCCCAGTTGGCTTGCAGAGGTGCTGGCCCAACAGCAGGATTTGTCACTCTGTAACAGAGCCTGACCTGCAGGCCGGATTGGTTTGGGAGTCACATCAGGCTGGTGTATTTGTGACTTCAGAATGTTAAGGAGTTTCTCCCAGAGGATGAAGAGCTGAGCCAGCCATGCCTCTCTTCCATCCAGCAGAGAGCTTTGTGGGACAAGGCAGCACTGGGAGAATGGGCAGGGCTCCAAACAAAAGCCCATGGTCACATCTCCTAAGATGGTTTCAAATCTCACATGCTCTAGAGGGGCTCAGAGACGGGTAAGCTCAGCCGCTGGCAAACCACACAGCTGTGGCAAAGCCTGCAGCCTGTGACCGTGCCACGAAGGGGTTCTACGAAGAGGGGACGGCCTCAGGTCTGACGGACGGCACTGCTTCTGTTCCAGGTACCTCAGCTTCTACAGGCAGATCATGGATCTTCTGACTATGAACAACGTCATCTCACAGCAGGAGGTGACACTGCCTGTCGTCTCTGCGGCCATCTCTCATCTGTGGCAGACCTTCTCGGAGGAGAACAAAGCCCTCATCCTGCAGGCCTGGCTGCAGCTGCACTGTGGCCTCCCGGAGACCTGGGAGGGGCCGCCCCATGCTGAAGACAGTGGATTCAACAGCCAGGAGGCCAACTTCTCCATGGTCTCCACCACACAGGAAGTGAGCATATTGTGCTGGGGGGACCTGAAGGGTGTCCGGAAATGACCCTCAGCCCTTGCTATGCCAGGCCTTGTCTGGGTCAGAGGACTATTTGTCTTCTGGATGGCACAGGAGCTTTCTGATTTTCTCAGCATCCTGTCCATGACCTGTCTTCCTGTTCGTTTGCTGGCTTTTCGCTGGGATGGTAGGATGGGCTTTGAAGACAGTGTCTGCTGGGATGCTCTGGGCTGTGACTTGCCAGTAACCTTGGGCTGGGGACCTGTTCTCTGAAGCATGAGGAAATGTGCTGCTCAGCCCCAGGGAGACCCCAGTTAGTCGGGCAGCTCAGGGATGTCCCTTCAGGTTCATTCAATTATTTAGGCTCCTTTGTTTTTCTGCTCTGCTGGTTTCTTGTCCTTCTTCCTCGGTCTGCTTTGCCCACTGCCATGAGTGCAGAATGGCAGCTGGAGCAGCTGGAGCAGCTGGAGCAGCTGGAGCAGCTGAGCTGGTATTCTTCCCCCTTCTAGGTGAGGTCAGAGAAAGCATTTTTGTGTAAGTGCTTTCTTAACAAAGAACTTTTCCAGAAACTCCTATCATAACTCCTCCCATCGCATGGTCAGGGATTAGTCAGATGGCCAGTTTCCTGAGCCATTGACTGGCTGTCAGGAACCAGAGATAAGCCTTCAGCATGGCAGTGACAGCACTGCCCAGGGTGCCTGCATCCTCCAGTGGCATGTCTGGCTCGAGCCCTGATCCAACTTTTTTTTTTTAAAGATTTATTTTTATTATTATTTTTTTTATTCGAAAGGCGGATATACAGAGAGGAGAGACAGAGAGGAAGATCTTCCATCCAATGATTCACTCCCCAAGTGAGCTGCAATGGCTGATGCTATGCCAATCCGAAGCCAGGAGCCTCTTCTGGGTCTCCCACGCGGGTGCAGGGTCCCAAAGCTTTGGGCCGTCCTCGACTGCTTTCCCAGGCCACAGGCGGGGAGTTAGATGGGAAGCGGGACTGCCGGGATAGAACCGGCGCCCATATGGGATCCCGGGCGTGCAAGGTGAGGACCTTAACCACTGCGCCACCGCGCCGGGCCCTAATCCAACTTTTGATTCCAGCTTCCCCGTGATTCCCCATGACTCTGTTAACCCTGGGGAGTGGCAAGTCATGGCTCAAGTAGCTGAGGCTCTGCCACCCTCATAGGAGACCCAGACTGTGTTCTAGACTCCTGGCTTCAGCCTGGCCTATAAATGCCATCTCTTTGCCCTGACCTGTCCTTGCAGCTGAGCCCCAGAGTCCCTAGCTATGTCTGCAGTCAGCTACCATGGCATGAGTTTGGGTCTTAGGTGTGACCTATACACCTAAGGAGAGGAAGGTTTCCCACTCATCCCTTCCCCAGCAACCTAGAGCAAGCATCAAACTGCAAAGCAGTTTCAGACACATCAAGTTCTTTACTTTCTTTTAGATCCTTTTTGAAGATGTCCTTAATCTGACAAATTTCCTGGACAACAATGCAGGTCCAAGTACATGCAGCCCCAGGTGAGAAACAGGGATGCAAGACGAGTGAGTGTGCGGGCGAATGGGTGTTGTGCCCGCATGTCGGCATGAGAGTGTGTGCATGGGAGCGTGTGAAAACATGTGCACGTGTGTGAGTGTTGGGGATGTATGTGTGCTTGCATGTGCGACTGTGTGCAAGAGGGGTGTGCGTGTTCATGCATTGGAGCGTGCGAGCACATGTGTGAGTGTGTACATGTGAGTGTGTAAGCATGTAAGAACATGTGTGCATGTGTGTGCGTCCCTGCTGGGGTGCTAGGATCCTTTCTTCTGCAGCCCACAGATGGGCACAAAATTCAGTCGGCATTCTTGGGGGCACACTTTTTCTGGGCTTGAAAGCAGCTGCTCCTAGGAGTGTGTCATTGCAGAGAGTGGCAGGGTCTGGGGTGTCGCACCCTCTTGGCCCACTCAGCGCCAGGCTGCCGACCTGCACTTGCGCATCCTGCCCTGGTTTCTTGGGGTGCCTTAGTCCTGCTTGTCCCCACTGAGGGATTGGAGTCCATTCATATGCCAAATACCTTGGACTTATAAACAACAAAGACTCCTGCCAGGTCGGAAGCCCAAGAACTCCAAGATCAAGATGCTGGCACAGTCCCATCTGGGGAGGGCCGGCTCACTGAGGAAGATGGCGTCTCAATAGAACCTTGCAGGTGGGTACAATTTCTCTGGGAACCTCTTCTACAGGGGCTCCTAGGAATGGGGGTTCTGTCCTCATGATCCCGTTCATTAGGATTCTGCAGCAAAACCTAATCTCAAAGGCCTGATGCCTAGCAACATCGCCTTGGCGGCTACATGCCAGCATATGATCCCGAGGGTTTGGGGTGCCACAGGCATTCGGTCTCCAGTGCCTGTGAGCGGGGCTGGAGCACTGATGCGATGGGAGCTGTAGCAGGGGGTTCTGGGGCACCAAGAACCTGAGCCAAGACGGAACCAGGGCTGTGCCCTGAGCATGGTGGAAGGCTTCCTTTCATGAGAACGGATTGCCGCAGCGAGGACAGGAGGGGTTGGCCAATTCCAGGAAGTAGGAAGGCACCAAACGGGATCTGGCAGGATTGTTCTAAACGTAGTGACGAAATCTATACACCCAGGGGGCATTTTACGTGAAAAGCTGCCATCCTTGTGGCCCAAAGAGACAGAGGCTTCTGTTGACTGTGCAGGTGCCAGAGCAGACAAGAAGCCCAGACCTGTTATTGTCTGGCCATAGGCTTCTCAGTGGACGCGTGGCCTGTGGGCGGCCCTTGAAGTCAGGCTTCCACGGCGGTAGCTGGTGACCTGGCAGCTTGCCAAGCAGAATTTCAGCCAGGCCAGGCACCTGCATGCAGTGTTTCCTTCTGCCTGCCCTCACCCCCACCGGGCCCAGAAGTGGGTCTGACCCTGGAGGGTTTGGCACCCCCAAGACAACCTCACAGAATGATTTGGCTACGCTCCTCTGTGATACGGGCATCGTGTTGCCCAAACCGGTTGGAAAGTAGACACTCCTATTTCTACTCCACCCTTGGGCTACAAGACAGCCGTGGTGAACACTGCCAAAGCAGGCTGGCCCAGCAGTATTTGGAATTGATACCTTGAAGTATCTTGAGCAACTTACCAAAGGGTCCGTCCTTCCCCACTATCCTGGGAAAAGCAGGCTGGCTGTGGAAGCTGACCCCCAGGAAGAAGTAGGGGCTGAATACCAGCTGTCCTTCCCCACTTGCAGCCTCTTGGCTGTCAGGCCCACTAAGCCTGGGCTTCTCCCCTTGTCCCACACCTGCTCTCTGAGTTGCCCAGCAGGTGCCTTGAGTGGAGGTCCTTCATGGGCATCAACTCACAACACGCACTGAGCTTCTAGGGCTGGCCACCCTGGCGGCCCGTAGGTGCTCCACAGCAGAGGGGAGCCATGGGAGGTGGCTGGCTGAGGGGTGTAGAAGCTCTCCCCAGGGTCGCATTACCAGCAAATTCTAGATGTAGCTATTAAGTGGAGGCATCATGGACCATTCAAGGAGAGCCGAGGGTCTCCTGAGGTTCAGCGGGGTGCTTAAGTTTGACTGGTTCCTGCCATAATCCAGGCACCCGGGGGAGACAGAATGCCAAGCGCAGGTGGGAGGCTCATCTTCTGACACTTGGCTGTTTTGTCCTTCTGTTGCCAGTTCCATGCTTGCCAACTGCAGTCCTGAGAGTATTGAGAAGTTTCACCTCTACCTGCAGATCATCAACTTTTTTCTCAGCCTCTGCGGTGCTAACACTGAGCTAAAACAGGTAGTACTGAGTGCGGTGAGGTCTTCACCCGTATCCCTCAGGACACAGAAAGGGCACTGGAGGGCGGCTCCGGCGGGACATAACCCCCTCATCACACAGAGCAGCTCTGGGTGGTTGGCGCCAGCCTGTCACAGCGTGTGCAGTGGGCAGGGTCTGGGGAACCAGAGGCCAGAGGCCCACCTTCAGGAACAGACTCACACAGAGCCCTTTGGAGCAGGGCTCGGGTCCTAGAGGTTGTCTCTTGGCCAGCATCGCAAAAGCCATGCAAACCCATGAACCTGCTCTGGGAAGAAGGATGGGTTCTTTCATCTTCTCCCGAGGCCCCATAGCATGTGTTTTTGTAATCAGCTGACAGTGTTGCTTGGGGTGACATTGGTCATGGGAATCCTTGCTGGGAAACCAGTCCAGAAGCTTCTATCATGGGGACAGGGTTGTGCCTGAGACCTGAAGGGAACCAAGCTTTCCAGATTTGTAGCCAGTGGATTTTTACTAATTTCAACAACAACAACAAAAAAATGATAATGGTTTCTTTTAAAGGGTAGAGTTATAGGGACTGGCATCTGATGCAACAATTAAGATGCTGCTTGGAATACCAGTGCGCCATGCCACAGCAGCTGAGTTCAAGTCCCAGCTCTGCTCCTGATTCTTGCTCCCTGCCCATGTGCACCCCAGGAGGCGACAAGGACAGCTCCAGTCCCTGGGTCCCTGCCACTTGTGTGGTGGATCCAGCTGATGGTTTCAAACCATCCGGGATCCAGCTGTTGTCACTTTTAGGGGAGTAAACAAGCCAGTAGGTGGAATCCTCTGCCTCTTGCTCTGCCTTTCCAACTAGGAGAAATAAATAGTTAAAAGGTGAGGTATAATAATGGCAAATATTTGTCTAACAACAATAAGGGTATCGGGTTGGCCCCTTCCCCACTTAGTCTTCTTCCTTTTGCTGTTTGCCTTCCTCCCGTCTGCCACCCATCCTCCACTGTCCCTCGGCAGCCATCCCCTCTGTCTGTGGTGCACAGCTAGGTCAGTGCCATCTAACCATGACTTTGAGGGGCAATCTTTGTGCCTTCCTCGATGCTTGCTGCACCTGTAGCAGAAAAGAAAGAACACAGAGGGACTAGCATCCAAATGTGCTTTGATTTTATCATGCAGTCACAGGCTGACAAACTCACGCTGATATCATTAAGTCACAAAGACATTAATACCCCAGGCCACTGACCAACAGCACTTGGTGGAGCGTCAATGGCGTCCCCCCTCCTTTTTTTTTTTTTTTTTTTGATCATGTGGCTGATGGGGGACCACCTCTGATGACCACAGCCCAGCATCATAAGGGTCATACAGCACATCTCCAGCCAGGGCAAAGACCTGAACTCTGCTGGGCCCAGGACTCAGATGCAAAGGTAAACCCTTTGCCCTTTGTGTGTTGCAGGAAGAAGACGGTCCTGTGGATGATGGAATGATCACGTTGAGGTGCATGGAGACCTTCGACGACGACGAGCTGTAGGAGGGGTGGGGAGGGAAGGGGCTGAATGAGGGTAAGCAGTTTCCCAAGTTTGGAGGCTGGCAGCTGACGTTGGACCTGCCTCTATGTTCTGGGACTCTTCAGAGTATGTTTTCCCTAAAGCATTTTGATGGTTTTCATTTCTGATTCTTAATAAAATTTAAGTGAAGCATGGCCCGGCGTCAGGCTCTCAGATGGTTCAGACAAAAGGTCCAGCCAGCTGTAGGCCACCCACCCACTGTGCTCTGGCTGTGCAGATGCCAGGCGGACTGTGGTTCACAGACAACAAGCAGGTTCTGTCCCTGGAAGTGGGGTGACACAAAGCCTGCACATCCCGCAGGTGGGGCGGCTCCTGTCGCGTGTGGGAACCTGCCACCTGCTCATCCCACCTGTGCTGGGAGCCAGGCACAGTGCTGGTCTCCACCGAGTGCTGCAGGACCTCAGGGTGGAACCAGGCACCCTTGTTTCCTGCAGCAGCAAAGACACTTGAATGGGCGCCCCTGGGGAGATCCTGACTGCAGAGTCCCAGCTCTCACTGCGCGGCCGCCCTGTGGCGCACAAGTTGATTGTCTGGAACTCCGGCGGGGATCCACTGGGCCTGGGGCTTTGCTTAGCACGTCACAGTTCACACATGACCAAACACTGGGGGCCCATGGGCATTTTCCAGGCAGCAGGACAGGTCCGTGTCTGCCACCGCCATGACTCCGCGAGCTGGAGAGAGCACGTGGGAAGAGCATCTTCACAGAGGAACCAGCACCCAGCAGGTCCCTAAGTGCCAGCCTCCCCTCACTGTGCCAGGCTCTGCCCTGACCCCCCTGAGTCCCAGGCTGAGTCTCAGGTAGTCCCTGAGCAGAAATGCTGAGGCATCTCCTTTCCCCGATAGTCGCATGCCAGCTGTGATGTGCCCACAGTCTTCCACCCGACAACCCCCTGCTTCCCTCCCCTCCTCCTGCAGGCCCTGCTGGATCCTGGCACAGCCCAGGGTGAAGTGACTGCATGAAACGGCCATCACTGGTGCTCATTCTCAGCCAGCCTACCCCACCGCACCTCCACCCCCACCTGAGGACCCCACCTGGATTATCAGGCCTTGCCCTGTACTTCCACCAGGTTTCTCCTCCTATTCAAGTCAGTCCTGCATAGGAGGGGGTCTGCGAAGAAAGAAAAACACCAGGAAATGCGGGGCGTTGCGAGGTTTATTTTAAGGGATTGATTCACACAACCATGCAGATGACAGCCCAGGCAGGACAGTAGGCTGGCCGCTGGGACAGGAGTTGATCCCCCTTCCCCCTGGGAACCCCAGGCAACCCTTCAGAGAGCCCCCCCTTGCATTATAGAAATTGGCTGCTCCCGCATGCCACCCACATGTACATCTGCCACACATGATGGATTCACTGGGCACTTGGCCAAGGCGCCAGGCCGAGCCAGCCATCACAGATACCCGTGGGGGCTTGAAGTGCTCTACAGGGAAGCCGGGCATCAGTGGTTACCTCATTAGGACAATGGGGAAGCCACAGATGTGGCTCAAGGCACAAAGCCGACACACGGAAGAGCTGGAATCAACCTCTTCCCCCAAAATGTGAGTGGACAGCATCTTGGTGATTAAGATAGAAAAGGCTCCTGCCCGCCACTAAAAAAAAAAAAAAAAATTATGATGTAGAAATGGGAGGCTGGCCCTTAGATTCTAAGTGTCAGCTCATGTACCCCACTTCAAGATCATGACTGGGAAGAGACCCCAGAGATAAAGGTGGGGGCAGGAAAGGAGAAGGGGGGTGGAGGACGGATCTGCCAGGCTTTGGGCTCCGCAGGACCTGACAGGGGTGGAAGCAAGGAGTACATTCTTTTTAGTTAATTTATAATCAGAGCTTCCATCTGCCAATTGTTTCCACAAATGCCCACAATGGCCAGAGCTGAACCAGGCCCCGAATGAGAACCGGAAACCCCAGCTTGGTCTCCCAGTACAGTAAGTAGAACCCAGCAAGTGGAACCGTCACCTACTGTCCCAGCAGGGTGTGCATTAGCAGGAAGCTGGAATTGGGAATGCAGCCAGACCTTGAACCCTGCCTGGGGCTCACATAGCCTAAGTGGAGTCTTGACCCCGGGGACTAGCAGATTCTGTCAGTGACCTTGAAGTTGGACAGATCCATGTGGGTGGGAGGCCGCCTGGGCTGGGCATCAGCTTGTACGGGGCCAGCCCAACTTGTACGGGGCCAGCCCGACATCTGTTTTGAGTCATTCATTTCCACCTCGCGCTGACTTCACTAAGCAAATGACCTCTGCCAGTTCCATCCATCAGCTCTCACCCCCCAGCTCTTGGGGGGTGCGGGGGAGGGAAGCGCACGCCTCCAACCTTGACCCTGAACAGCAGACCTTTGTGCTTTTATGGAAATGCCCAGCATCTGCCCCTTCTACGCGTGCCTCTCACAAAGCTGCCTTGTCCTGGGAGGGCTGAAGCCACAGCGCACAATGGAGGGACGGAGCTGCCGGCGCTCTGGACCGGACCCAGCTCTCCTCTCCTGCTGTTGGTTCTGTGTTGGCTCAAGAACATGACGACGTGAGACTCAAGTGCGGGTAAAACGCGCTTGGAAAGGAGCCTGGCTGGTGAGGACACAGGGAGCCTGTCGCGGACCTCAGCCTGTTAAACCAAAGAGCCCCCGGGAGGCGCTGGGCAGGACTTGAAGGGCTGGGAGCATGGGGAGAGGATGCACCCGCACCTGCCAAGTTGGAGGGGCAGCCTGGAGTCTCCGAGAGGCCCAGCTTTTTACAGAAGTTGGACCCTGCGTGCCCATCATGAGTTAGGTTTAACTCAGAACAATGGGATCTACTGAAGTAACGCCTCAGGACATTCTTCATTCTTCTCCCGTTTTGGGGTCTCGACCCTCTCCCACCTACCCCCGCCTCACCCCACCCAGAGACCTGCATAGGGGTACAACCCCCCCTACTTATGTAAAAGACACTTAATTTTTAAAAAACGGCTTTTACAAAAAGAGAGCATACCAATAACAACAGGTGTATACGCCGATCTTCATTGTTGAAAGAAAAGTTGATGATGCAAGAATGGAAGGCGCCAGCTTTCAAGGGAACTCTGCCACGGGAAGGAGACGTGTGGACGCAGAAGCCTGGACGCAGGGATGAATGGCGTCTCCGTTCATGGTTTCTCTACAGATCTCCCAGAAGAAAGCAGACAGCTGAGGATCAGGGCGAGTTCAGAGGCGGGAGAGGAAGCAGCGGGATGAGCTGGGGAAAGGTGGCCCTGGCTGCCCCGCGGCAAGGGCGGCGCAGGTGAAGTTCCCCGGTGCTCAGCCTGGGAGCAGCTTCGCTGTTGTGCTTTCTGCTGCAACACCCAGCCGGCGGTGAGCACCTGCCTGAAGAGGCCTGGGAGCTCTGGACAGAGGTCCTCGCCTCTGCTCTTGCCCTAGTCCGGCGTCCAGTCACAGGGAAGCCGTGTTCTGGGTGCTGTTGGAGTAGGAGTCGCCGCTGCTGGAGATGGAGTAGCCGCCGGTGACCGCGGGGGACCAGGGTGGAGCAGCCGATCCGTGTCCGGCTGGGCGGTGCGCGGAGCCAGAGTGGAGTGGCTGGTCCGGGGGTCCGGCTGGTGGCTGGAGAGCGCACGGGACCCGCTGCTCACAGCCGGGTGTCGGCCGGCGCGGTGGAGCAGGGTCCGAGCCCGCCTCTGCCGCCGCCTTCCTGCCCGGGCCAGCACGGGAGGCCCCGCGCGCAGGAGCACGCGCAGCGCTGGGTGCCGATGCCCCATGGCAGCCCGTAGACCTCGGTGGCCGTCGCAGTATCCTCAGGCGCCTCCTGCATCTGACTCCAGGCCAGGAGGCCACGCTCCTCTCGACTTCCTGCAAGGGGACAGCGCCGAAATCAGGGCCAGGGCAGGGACCCTCTTCGTGCCTCCCCAATCTCTCTCCTTCCCCTCCGCTCCCACCCCGCGACTGCCCCTCCGCTGGGGACCTATAGGTCTGTTCGCACTTCTGAGTTTCTGGAACATGGATGCATTTTGCATTCGATGGGGACAAGCAGCGCGGCTGATACAGTAGCACCAAGAAGGTGTTGCCCTGGAGGGTGCCAAGGGGAGGCTGTGAGCGGATGCAGAAGAGAGGAGAGGTGGGCTCAGGCACAGGTGGGCGTGTGTGTGTGTGTGTGTGTGTGTGTGTGTGGTGTCTCTGGCCTGTTGGGTTGTAGGCATCCAAGCGAGCCAAGGCGGTGCCTTTTTTTCTGTTACTTTTGGTGTGAGTTCCGGTGAGGGCTCTCCCGGGGTCTGAATGGTATCCCCTCCAGGGCTGGACAAATGGCTCGCCAGCTCAGAGTGCGACTGTTTCTGGAGACAGGGCCTTTAGTGGGACGAAGAAGCCAACCTAGGCCACACCGAGCTGTTAGCCGGTGGGGCGAACGCCCCAGCTCGCACTGGGACCTACCCGGGATAGTGTTGTCCAGGAGGAAGCCCAGGAAGCCGCCTACAAACATGCCCGTGGTCAGCAGCACCTGGATGACCTGGTCCAGCTCGGGGAGGCCTGCAGAGGCGGCACAAGTTAGATCTGCAGGGAGTGGAGGCCGAGCAGGTGGACGGGGGTGGGTGGGGGAAGGAGGGGAGGGTCTCTCTTGCGGAGAGAGGATGGTCACCTGTCTGGAGCATCTCGGGGTTCCGGTTCACCCAGTTGGGAACTGCGAGCCCGCAGAAGACGGAGAAGCCAAAGACGCAGAGGTTTCGTTGAGAGTTCATGTCGGCGTACTGCAGACTGGAGATGCCCACGGCGGTGATGATGCCAAACATGACCAGGAACATGCCTCCGATCACAGGCTGGGGGATGGTGGCGAACGCAGCGCCGATCTTCCCGAAAACCCCCAAGACGAGCAGCACACAGCCTGCGGCGACCATCACCATCCGGCTCCCCACCTAGGGACAGCGTGGAAGGAAAGAGCTGCCACCTCAGGAGGGGGGCGGGACACCGCTGCTGCTGCTGCTGGGCCACCTCATGGGGGCAGACAGGACAGGCAGGGTGCCGGGAAAGGCTGGGCCCCGTGAGATGGGCTGTTCTTGATCTAGGCAAGGTCTTGACGAGGTCAACCGCAAGTTTACTCCACGTGCAACCACCAGGGGGTATTTTAGACAGAGATTTCACCCTCATCTTTCTGGGGGTTCACTGAGCATCAAAGCTGAGCGAGGCCCCATCCTCTGGGCCACCCGGCAGTAGGGGATTCCAACCTGAGTCTTGAGAGTCCCCCTAGAGAATCAGTGGGTGCTCTGCCCCCTGTGGTTACAAAGCCATCCGCTTGGACTTAGCTTAGCAGCGGAATTCCAAGTTCCCAGGAGTTTGGGAACGCTAAGGAAGCGTCTCTTACCTCCTTGCAGCCGCGGGTAGTTCTCTTCCATTTTTAGAGATTATTTGTTCAAAAGGCAGAGTGTGAGAAAGAATATCTTCCATCTACTCGTTCACTCTCCAAAAGTTCACAACAGCTGGAGCTGGGCCAGTCTGAAGCCAGAAGCCAGGAGCTCCATCTGGGTCCCCCATGTGAGTGCAGGGGCCCAAGCACTTGGACTATCCTTTGCTGTTTTCCCAGGTGTGTTCTCAGGGAGCTGGATTGGAGGCGGAGCAGCTGGGATTTGAACTAGTGCTCATATGGAAACCACGGGCAGTGGCTTAACCCGCTTTGCCACATACAACATCAGCTACAATAACCAGAAATACAATGAAACTACTACACAGTTTACAAAGGTCCACATGCCACCCTGTCACAGAGCTAGTGCCAGGAGCACACAGTTACAAACCACGGGGCACTGCTGATTGTCACGTGGCTCATGGCTCATAGCTGGAGTTGGGGTGACAACTGCTCCCAGGGAGGCAAAAATGAAGTTTTAGGGTGATGAAAATACTTAGGAGGATAACAGGGTGGTAGACCCATGTCGTCATATTCTGCTGTATGACCTGAGAGCCAGCCCAAGTGGAAGACACTGTGTCCAGGCGGGCTTGCCAATTGCAACACAGTTGCTCCTATCCAGAGGGAGACGTTGATAAGCTGAGGGGTGCAGAACTGCGAGCTTACCCAGAAAAGAGCTTCTCTGTGAACATGAAACTGCCCTAAAATTCAAGTCTTTAAAAGAAAAAAAGACCCCTGAGGGCTGGCACTAAGGGTAGCATGTTATGCTTCTTCCTGCGGTGCCAGTTCATATCCTGGTTGTTCCACTTCCCATCCAGCTCCTGGCTGATGTCCTGGGAAAGCAGCAGAGGATGGCTGGAGTCTTTGGAACCCTGCACCTGCGAGGGAGACCTGGAAGGAGCTCCTGGATTCAGGGGCGGGGGGTCAGCTCCGGCTGCTACGGCCATTTGGAAGTGAATCAGCAGATGGAATAGCTCTCTCTTTCTCTCCCTCTTCTACTTTGTAACTCCACTATTTTTTTTTCAATGTTTACTTTTATTGTAAAGGCAGATTTACAGAGAAAGAGAGACAGGGAGGAAGATCTTCCATCTGCTGGTTCACTCCCCAAGTGGCAGCAACGGCCAGAGTTGAGCCAGTTAGAAGCCAGGAGCCAGGAGCTTCTTCAAGGTCTCCCACATGGATGCAGGGTCCCAAGGCCTGGGGGCATTCTCTCTTGCTTTCTTGGGCCACAAGCTGGAAGCCTGAGGGGAAGTGGAGCAGCTGGGACACAAACTGGCACTCATATGGGATCCCAGTGCTTACAAGGTGAGAAGTTAGCCAACGAGCCATTGTGCCAGGCCCATAACTCCACCTTTCAAATATACAAATAAATCATCTTAAAAAGATAATTTGATGTCAACTAAAGCCCATTCATGTAGTCAAGAAATGGCCAGATGTTTCTTTGGCGTTCTAGTTTGTCTGTTAAAAAATGCTTTACTACATCAGAAGAACGTTTGGTTTTGTTTTCAGTTGTGACAATTCGCCATGGAAGTAAAGGCTTGACCACAAGAGATCAATTTGTCAGGTTCGGGCAGCTCTGTGGGACATGCTGATGGTCTCATAGAGATGACAATCATCTCCCGATCCTGTTACCACGAGCACTTAGCATCCAGCCTTGGGCCCCTTTGTGTCTCAGGGCTGACATTTCAGCCGGGAGCCATGACATACCCTGTCAGGACCCTGGTCTCCCCTCAAGCTCAGGGAGAGTTGGAAATGACTGGGGTCCATCCTTGCCCAGATGCAACGTGAAACAGCACTGCACATGACCACAAGGGGGCGGTGTGCGATCATAGAAGCAAGTGATCCCTGCACCTGTTCGTGTTTCAAGGTTAACCTGCCTTCTACATGATTTGCAGTCACCTCAATGCCTGTTTATCTTTACTCCCAGCTCCTCCCCTGTCCTTTAAAGGTCCTTGGTGTAGATAGGAAGGCATTTTCACTCTGCTTATGGACTATAATTTTCTGCTTAGTGTGAGGGTTTTTTCCCCCAGTGGGAAAGAAACTATAAGACACTTTATAGTTACATGGCCATCTTCTGCCATATTTCTGCGTGTGAAAGTGTCTTTCCTGTGGAAAAACTTTCCCTTTCCTGCCCTAGGGGCCTTGAAGCCTCGGGCAAGTGCCAGAGTCCATGGGATCACAACTCACAAGATTGTAGTAGAGGCAAGGGCTGGCTCAGCTATTTTCTAGAGAATTTTGGCCTCAGCTGTATGCCAAAGGTCATGCAGGGTACAAAGGTGGACAGATACAACGCTAGAAATATGTGAACCGCCAAGAGGAGTGATCAGAAGAAAGGAAAAGTATGGAGTGCCTGGGGAGACTGGATTTTTCCAAAGCGTACAGCCACAGCAAAGATGCCCCGGAGCACATGGGAAGTGACACAGTGCTGCATTTCCCCCGGGTCTCTTTGGATGACACTAGCCTGGGGCTGGTGCTGGGCAGGTTGAGCCACCACCTGTGATGCAGCATTCTGTGAGTGCAAGTTGCTTGACTTCTGACCCAGATCCTGGTCAACGGCCTGGGAAAGCAGCAGAAGACGGTGCAAATGCTTGGGACCCTGCACCCACGTAGGAGGCCTGGAAGAAGCTACTGGCTCCTGGCTTTCGTCGGGCTCAGCTTTGGCTGTTATGGCCCCTTGGGGGGAGTGAGCCAGCAGGTGGAATCCTCACTCTGTGTCTCTCCCTCTATTCCTGCTTTCAAACAAACAAAACTTTCTGAAGTCTTACGTAAAGAAAAAAGAGCATCATCCTGAAAAAAATTTCTCACTGACATCTAGAGTTTATTGTGGAAAATGGGGCCGTGGAAGACAGTCCAGCAGAGACTAACCTGGCTTGAGTCAGCTTCTAGGAAGATCCCTGTGCAGCCTGTGGTAGACAGAGAAGACAGAATGGGAAGGATTGCAGTAGCATTCCGGTAACAGAAGAGGCGCTGTGGCCCTGCGGAAGGAGGAGAGAGGACCGGATGGGCAGCGGGGATGCCAGGAGCTGAACCCATTGCTGATGCTCGGAAAGCAGAAGGCACAGCTGCCAGTGGCTAGTGCGTGTCCCTGAGACAACACGTGGCCAGCCCAGCTCTGCCCAGCAGGAACCGAGGGGAAAGAAGGCAAGACCCCAAGAATGGGTTCCGATCAGCGGGAACCACACAGCACTCAGGTCACAGCTGCGCAGACGCCAGCCTCCTTATGCTCTTCTTATGCTCTTACATTATTAGTCACTTCCTCCCATGTCACGATGGTTGACAACTGCTTTGACAACCTTATGGAAATGACGCACACGGAGAGACAAGAAGTGGACCCTTGGGACCAGCACAATGACTCAATTGGCTGATTTTTCCCCTGCAAGCATCAGAATTCCATATGCACACCAGTTTGTCTTCCAGCTGCTCCACTTCCCATCCAGCTCCCTGCCTGTGGCCTGGGAAAGCAGTCGAGAACAGCCCAAACCTTGGGACCCTGCACCCGCATGGGAGACCTGGAAGAAGTTCCTGGCCTCATATTGGCTCAGCTCTGGGATTTGGGAAGTGAACCAGAAGATGGTAGATCTTTCTTTCTCTTCTTTTTATACATCTGCCTTTCCAATTAAAAAACAAACAAAATCAAAGAAGAACCTCAGCAAACAGCAAAGGAATTTGTTCTCTGCCCCTTTCCTTAATGAAAATGCCTGGCTCACTCTTCATTTCTCTCCGTCTTGTGCAAGCCAAACACTTTGAGACTGTTGGGGGCCCATGCAGGAGACCACCACTGTCCACTGTCATAGCCACCGGGGCAAGGACTGCAGAAGATGCCCGCAGTGGGCTTCACGCAAGCTGGTAGGAGAGGGCCCTGGGACACCAGCACACAGGGAATAGTCACATTTGGGCTCTGACCCTGGACAGTTCCAGCTACAGGCAAATGGCCCTCCCAGTTAAACTTGGGAAAGTTTCACAGGCACTTCTTCAATACTCAGAAATGTGTAGATCTTGGCCAGTGCCACTGCCACAACCCAAGATCAAGTGTGGCAGGCAGAACCAGGAAGCCATCAGAATGGCATCCTGTGTGTGTCATCACTGGTCACAGCAGGCAGAGCATGCCAATCCTTGGGGTGCAGATCTGAGTAGATCTGAGTCTGGCACATGTCCTTGCACTCCTCCCGTCCCTGCCCGGGAGCAGGTCAGCAGCCTTACCCTGGTGATGCCCAGCGCCCCGATGTTTTCGCTGTAGGAGGTGGTGCCGTTTGCTGTGCCCCAGGCCCCTGCCAGCAGGCAGCCGAGGCCCTCCATGCCAATGCCACGGTTGACGGCATGCTTCGGGGGTGGTGGGGCCCCCACCAGCCGGGCACAGGCATAGTAATCGCCCACCGACTCCACCATGGAGGAGATCACTCCTGCGATGATCCCGAAGACCCCCGCCAGGCTGATGGTGGGGAGGCCCCACTGTCCTGCAAGGCACGGCGGCTGGAAGGACTCGGGAACGCCGAGGCGTGAGCCCCATATAATCTCTGCTGGAGGTGTCTCTGTGGGGCTTGAGACAGGGGACAGGGTCTCCGGCTCTCTAAGGATTTGGCTCAGGCTCTTGCACTCCTGTTCATCCCTGAGGGTCAAATGTCTGCAAGCTGACATCCCCCAGTACCAAGAAGAGCCAGCTTGGGCCTTTGACTTAGCAGGTGCATGCAGTGGCGCTTGGCTTTGCTCCGAGTCTAGATTTCTGCTCATGCACACCCGAGGAGGTATGTGGGTTCTTCCCGCCCACGTGGAAAACCCGGGTTGAAATTCCAGGCTCCCGGCTTTGGTCTGGCCCTGGCGCAGCCCCAGATGTGGGGGCTGTCCGGGGAGAGCATTGCCTGGGTGGGAGATCTCTTTATGCACCTTTCTCCTTCTGCTTTTCAAATTAAAGTAATAAAAAAAACCAAAACAAATAAAAAGCCACAAAGGGGCTCTCCCAGAGGAGGCTTGACATTGAAATCCCGATCGTGGAATTCAGAGAGGCCGCAGGGACTGGGTCCACAGTCACTGACATGGCCTGAGCCAAGAGCTTCAGGTGCAGGACGCCAGGGGCAGCAGTACTGTAGCTCAGGCACAGGCCTCTCTCTATTCTTGCCTCGTGTAACAGCCCAAGGTCTGCCTAGGGATCAGCACCCCTCCCCCACCTCCCCATCAGGTACATGGGTCCTCAGTAGCTGGAGGAAGGAGGCCCAGGATGGGGGGGGGGGGGGGCTTTGTTCTCCTCCACCTCTGAGACAGCCCCAGAAAAGCCCGGTTCCCCTTCTCTTCCTGGATCAGTTGCCTGCCTAATGCCCTGGGTCCCACTGGCAGTCCTGGCAGAGATATCCCCAACACGAAGGCGCCTCCATCTTCTTACCTGGGTAAGGGAAGCGAAACCACGGGGCTTCGGTCAGGACGCTGCCCTTGGTGTCAGTGCGAGCCAGGTAGCCGTAGGCAGTGGGAGCCGAGGGGAGGCTGTCGGTGGCCGTGAGCAGGAAGCAGAGTAGCCAGCAGAGGCACAGGGCCAGCAGCACCTGGCAGAGAGGACCCCTTCACCGCTCTCACCCCACCCTGCTCCCACCTGCCTCCTGGAAGGCACGGGGGCAGGTCAGGAAGGTGCTTGGGAATAGGGACGAAGTGGGGCGCAGGGCCCCTTCTAGCGACACAGGACAGCCGGATCAGTGGATTAACCAGCACATTAAACACCTAAGACTTTGTGGTGCATTGGCCAAGTCTCCACCTGCAGCACTGTTGGCAACTCCCATGAGTGCCACTTGAGTCCCGGCTGCTCCACTTCCCATCCAGCTCCCTGCTAATGGGCTGGGAAAGCAGCAGAGGATGGCCCAAGTGCTTGGGTCCCTGCACCTGGTGGGAGATCCAGAAGAAGCTCCTGGCTTCAGACTGACCCAGCCCTACACATCACAGCCCTTTGGGAAGTGAAGTGGTGGTGGAAAATCTCTCTCTTTCTCTGAGTCTGCCATTTAATAAATAAACACACAAAAAATATTTTAATCAGCTCTAGAAACAGATGATAAACTGCTTTGGGACTTTGTGTCAAATTAGGGCAGAAATGTCCCATGAGTTGGGTGTAGGCCAGATGACCAGCCACTGAGAAATCCCCTGATCCAAGTCACTGGAGTGAGCCCAGACTGTCTTAAGCCCCTGGCTTCACGTCATTGAGGTGAAACTGGCTGTCCCCCTTGGACCTTGGACAGTCAAGGATCAGATTTGGTTCTGAACTGGTGACCAGGAAAGGCTGTAATGCAAGCCAGCAGCCAGCAGGGGGCGACCGCCCGTGGCCTGAGCGGTCCTCCAGGCTTGCTCCTATGTCCCAGAATCAGAAGTTGTCTTGTGTCCTCCAGGTGAGTGGACTAAGAATGGAAGGAGTGGGGCATGCTTCTTACAGGGAAGACCTGAAACAAGTAGAACTTGGAGGTGTGACACTTCTTTCCGTAGACGGGCACCGGCACAGCCACGTTTCTCAGGTACTGAGAAAACAACACAATGAGGAAACTGGTCCTAAAACAGAAGCAAACAATCATACCCAACTTGGGGCTGGATGGTCTGCAGAGTGGAGCCACCGCGGGCCCCTGGGACCCCACATGGGCAGAGTCCTGCCATCTCTGGCCAGGCTCTCGCTCCCCGTGGGAAGCCGTCGGTGGCCTGAGTGGAGTCGTGGGAGGGGAGGCTGCTGTCACGGCCTGTTGCCTCCCAGGTCCCACCTCGCCTCAGCCCATGAAGGACAGTGTTTGTGAAAGTGTTGTCCCCAAGCTCAGTGAGAATGCTACAGGTCTCAATCACCTGGAGGACTCCCCAGTCCTGTCACCCCCTATCTGCCTGCCCCCCTGTAACTGTCATCTGGTCTACCAGCAGCACCAGTACTGGGACCAGGGTCTTTTCTCTCGCACAGACTAGAGCAAGCTTGACCTTCCTGGGTCCCGAGCATTGTGGACTTTTCGTTCGATGGCAAGCCAATTTGGCAGGGGCTGGGTCATCTCTTAACGATTTCCCAGTGTTCTGATGCACCGCTTGTGCGTACTGGCTGTTCTGTGCATACTGACAGCAGTCAGACGGACGAAGCCGCGCTTCCTTAGGCGTGACGCCATCTAAGAAGGAAGTTGTAAAACACAAGTTCACTCAAGTTCAGGCCTCGTGTTTTCCTCGGGGGCGATCTTCCTCTCAAGAGAAACCACTGACACTCCCTCCTCCTCCAGGAGTACTTACAAGGCAGAAACGCCCCAGTGGGTCCCGGCGTCGCTGCCTGCAGAGTCAAAGAGGGGCAGGGCCACCAGGGAGATGGTCGGGGCGATGGTCAGGGGGCCGATGAAGCGCAGGAGAAAGCCGATGAGGCCTGAGAAGCCCACCAGCATCTGGACACAGGAGGCGACCATGATGGCGCCCTGCAGCTGGAGGGGAGAGTGAGAGCGTTTTTCCACCAGTAGGTGATGCATATCTGTGCATGCATGAGAATGTTACACTCAGGGAAAACTCACACTGCTCCTGGCACCATTATTTACAGAAGGGAATTACTAACCACCCCTTCAATGTATGGCCTGAACACAGAAGAAATCTATTGCCATGTAAACATAATAGAATATTACTGAGTAAAGAGAACAAATAATCTTTACTCCACAAACCAACATGGAAGAATCTGGAAAATCTACTGTTGATGAAAGAAGTCAGATACAAATGACCGTGTGACTCCATGTACAAAGTTTATCAACAGGAAAACTCATCTGGAGGGTCAAGAGTCAGAGTCGTGGACCTGGCACGGTAGTCTAGTGACTAAATCCTTGCCTTGCGTGCACCAGAAACCCATGTAGGTGCTGGTTTGTGTCCTTACTGCTCTACTTCCCATCCAACTACCTGCTTGTGGCCTGGGAAAGTAGTCAAGGATGGCTCAATTCCTTGGGACCCTGCACCCGCATGGGACACTTGAAAGAAGCTCCTGGCTTTGGATAGGCTCAGCGCCAGCTGTTGCGGCCACTGGGGGAGTGAACCAGTGGATGAAGGATCTTTCTCTCTGTCTCTCCTTCTTTTTGCAGATCTGACTTTCCAATTAAAAAAAAAAAATCTTAGAGAGAGCGAGCCATGGTTACCTTCCTGACCAGAAGGAGGCACAGTTGAGCTTCTGGCATGCCAAGTACATCTTTCTAGAGCTGGGTTACCTGGGGACATTGAACCTAGAGAAATCAATTGTATGTTTTACTGTGTGCTTGCTAAACTGACATTAAAATATATTTTAATAGGTATCAGCTCAAATTTTGGAAGGAAAGGCTAAACTAGAGCAATGCTGAAAAGCATATGATGATCTTATTAGACATGGACATATTTCAGCAATTCTATTCCTTTTCCTTGGTCAGCTGGGACAGGAATAGGAATTGTGCTATTGCTGCATCTTCCATTTTTTACTTCTTTCTTTTTGTTTCATACACAAGGGAGTGACAGCTATTGCAGTGGTGAGGCTAGGAGAACGCATCTTGGACCCCAACCTAGCTAAGTCTTTTTAGCTTGGCACGTAGAGATATTGGAGGGACCCACCATCCTTTGGGTGCATAAACCCGAGTTCAGAAATGAGTTGGCACCAAAGGCAATTAAGTCTAAGGGCATGCCTAAACAAAGGCCATGTGAGCTAAAAGTTCACCAACACCTCATACATGTGTGATGCTATAGCTGCTCCAGGGGAAGTGGCCCACGGCACAGCTCCCAGCCAGACCACCCATAGATACCATAGGACTAGCTGCTTAGCTGGGGGGGGGGGAATAGATGAAATTCTTAAACATCTCAAATGAAACTTGATTCTCTTACAAAAAAAAAAAAAACTACGAACTAAACTGCACTTTACTTACAAAACAACTCCCACCCGCCCACCTTAAATGAGAATGTTGAAGTCTGGAAGCTGTCGAGCCTACCGTAACTGTGGTGTAGCTGATCGCTCAGCCTAGAATCCTGTGTGTGCAGCCCTCCTTTGCTACCCTTTAGGTGAGGGATGTAAGCAATGATTTGGATATGGCTTGTTCCCCGAGAGTTCATCTATTGAGAGTTTCATCCCCAGCGTGGTGGTGTTAAGCTGCAGTGGTGGCGGGGGGAGGGGGGCCATGGTGGCTCAACAGGTTAATCCTCAACCTTGCAGCACTGGTATCCCATATGGGTGCCGGTTTGTGTCCTGGCTGCTCCAGATCCAGTCCATCTCCCTGTTTATGGCCTGAGAGAGGATGGCCCAAGTCCTTGAGTCCCTGTACTCATGCAGGAGACCTGGAAGAAGCTTCTGGTTCCTGGCTTTGGATCAGCTCAGTTCTGATCGTTACAGCCATTTGAGAAGTGAACCAGCGAATAGAAGATTTTTCTCTTTGTGTTTCTCCTTCTCTCTGTAAACCTTCCCTTCAAATGAAAAAATAAATATTTTTTAAAAAGATGTGGTGGTAGAACCTTGAAGTGAAGGGACCCAAGATTGGCCATTCCACATGCTGTTTTGTATCTCCCTCTCCTGTGGCATCCAACCCACCATGAGATGTTTTCTTCCAGCATGCCTTTCCCAGAGCCGAGCAGACTCCAGCAGCACATGCTTAAATATCCAGAACTGCCAACTCAAACATCTGTATAAATACCAAACCTCAGGTATTTTATCATAGTCATGGAAAATGGACTAATATAATCCACTGGCAGACTGGTACTGGGCCCTGTTTCTGCATGTTGGTTTTCCTATTACTCTGAGCCTACCTTGGTCAGGTGGCCACAGGTCACTTTATGTAATCACAGAAACTACAATCACAGCAACAAAGCCTGCAATTGAGTGCCTGGAAAACTATAACTGCAAGGCAGCCCTGTCTTGAAATTCCATCTTGCTCAGATGGAATTGGTACTACGTTCATCACCATCATCACCTCATCATCCCTGTGAAGGGTGTGCCTCTTTCCCCTTTGCCACCCCAGCGCTTGACACAATGATACTTGATGAATTAATACAAAGCTCCCCCTGTAGCTCAGCCTCCCAGGAACTCATTGGAGACATAAAATGGTGGGGCTTCCCTCCTGTGAAATCTGTAAAAGCACTTCCAAGAAAATTCGCTTTCGCTCTGTCCCATTCACCCCAACAACCCCAACCCCTCTCTTGTACATCACCCATATTATTTCCTTCATTATGAAACCCTGAGATTTTCCTTTGGAATATTTCTCTTCCTAATACAACTCCCACACTCACTCGATTGCCAGCTCCCTGTAGACAGGTCCAAGCCTGGCTTGACTCTGGCAGCGCCTCGAGCCTGGCATCTTGGCCGATAGCAAGCTGGGTGTGGATCCTGAGCACATGCATCACCTCAGGGATCCCGCGCTCCTCCCCCTCACCCCTCCGGCCTGTTACCTCTCGGATCCTCTTCTGCCATTCCTCAACGAATTCAGGAGAGCTGGTGTTCACCAGGCTGGCGTTGAGTGTCCATTCGGGGCACTTCCAGGCGGGAAGGGACAGCATGGCTGAAGAGGGTGCCAGAAATGCAAATGTGCCTCCCTGGAGAATGGGCAGCCTGGAGGAGGGGAGGGGCGAGGTCACCTCCAAGGTCCCGTACATCACCCATTACAGATCAAATGGGCCTTTGGAGTCCAAGTCCTAGATTGGTCTAGAGGCAACACAAGATCCCTGCTTTTCCTACTCTCAGCGAGCTCCTGTCATGTTCCAAGACAGATCCAGGAGCCCTGTGAACAGGTAGGAGACTGGGCAGAGGAAGGACAAGCCAACCCACTCACAGTCCTGGAGTCCAGGGAGCCAGCTGCTGGCAGACGGTGCAGAGGCAGCTTGAACTCAGTGAACATGGCATTCTCTACCCCAGCCCCAGGGAGTCCTCCAAGGAAAACAGACACTGGTTGAATGGTTAAAAAAACAAGAGCCATCTATTTGCAGCCTACAAGAAATACACCTCATCAACCAAGGTATGCACAGATTGAAAGTGAAAAGAAAGAAGTTATTCCATGCTAACAAAAAGCAAAATGTAGCAGGAATAGACATCATAATAATAGACAAAATAGATGTTCTCTCTCTCTCTCTCTCTCTCTCTCTCACACACACACACACACACACACACACACACGTTTAAAAGTGAAAGAAAGATATTATATAATAATTACAAAAACAGGCCTGGCCTTTTGTACTGGTGTGGCAGGGCCCCAGGTAGCCCCCATCTTTTGCATCGGGGTGCCCCAGGTGTCAGGCTTGCGGGGGGCCTGGAGGATGGTGCTAGCAGGTGTGTGTGTGTGGGGGGGCGGGGAACCTGGGGGCTTGAGCCCAGGGATTTTTCATTTGTTGTGTCCCAGATAGTGTGGGAGAATGGGAGGGGAGAGCCTTAGGTTGGCATGCTGGCCGAGTGAGCTGGTGGACTGGGCTGAGGGAACTTTGAAAGGGCCTGGATCTTAGGTATGTGGAAGGGTTAGGTCCCAGGCCAGCACATGTATCAAGAGCTTGGGACACGAGTGGACATACAGCGCTCCAGGCCAGCACGCCGCGCCACTGGAAGACTTGGCTTTGGAAGGCTGGAATGGAGGGGCAGGTAAGAGCCTAGCACCCACTGGCACATGTGAGATTTGGGTCTGGAAATGCATCTAGTGGTAGAACTTGGGAAACTCCCCTGCTGGGACATATCTTCCATTGATAAACATATGATTCTGGCCTGGGTGTTGGTCAGGTCGAGCAAGGTAGTTCCACCGGTCGGCAAGTGTAGGGGTTGGTTCTGGAAGGGGTGGACTGTGCAGAGCAAGGCCAAACCATAGCAAACTGGCATGTACAGGAACCAGGTTGGAGTGTAGGTCATGCCAGGCTAGGTTATCACACTTAACCAGTTTGCATGAAAACCAGGGATGGGAGCAGATTGAGTAGGGCCAGGTTGCAGCACCTGCCAGCATGAGTTGGGACTAGGGGTAGGCCAGGACAGGCCAGGCTAGGGCATACGATGGCAAAGGCCAAGCTGGGTGGTAGGTTATTCTGAGCTGGGTCAGAGCAACTACTGGTACATGCAAGATCTATGTCTGAAAACAGGCCTAATTGGGGAGCTAAGGGGATACTCCATCTGGGTTATGGTTCCTACTGATGAGTGCAAGAGCTGGAATGGGGGTGGCAATCTGGCTGGACATGATTGTACTGTCCTTTGGCATGGATGTGGACTATGTCTGGGGTGTGCCAGACTGGGCTATACTCCAGTACCCGCTGGAGCTTGTAAGAGCCAGAGTGAGTGTAGAATGGGCTGGGCTAGTCTTGGTATCCACTGAACCATGCAAGAACTGGATCTGGGAGTGGACCAGACAGGGTTGGGCTGTATCACCTAATAGTAAGAGCAGGAATGGGCGTGGTCTGGTTGAGCGAGGCCACTGTTCCTGTTAGGACAAGACAGAAAGGCAGCCAAGTCAGTCTGGGCCAAGGATTCACCAGTATGCATGAGCTCTGCCCTAGGAGGTGACCTGGTAGAGGAGCTTGGGAAGCTCCTCTGTCAGGATGCAGTCCCTGTAGGTAAGGGCAAGAACCAAGGCTGGAAGCAGCCCAGACCAGGTCAGGTTGTAGTACCTGCCACCATACATGTAGGACAGGTCAGGGTGCAGGCCAGGCTGGGCCAGTTCATAACACCTACTGGTAGATATGAGAACCAGATCAGGCCCCAGTAAGAGCCAGTTCACATTAGGGCCAGGACTGGGGGCTGACTAGGTTGGGCTGGGCTGGGTTAGGCTTCAGCATCCACATGTATGAGCTAGAACAAGGGGTCAGACCAGTCTGAGCCAGGCTGCAACATCTGCTGGCAAATGCCAAGGTGAGGCAGGCATGCCAGACTAGGCCACAGCACATGTGAGACCCAGGCAGCAGGGAGTGAGGGAATTCAGGGGGCTCCCTGCTGGGTCACTGCTCCCACTGGTAAGTGTAAGAACTGGGAGCTGGGGGAGGCCAGGCCACGTAGGGATATAATACATGTTGGCCGCGTGAGAACTGGGTTGGGAGAAAACCAGGCTGAGTTAACTGACCGTATCCACTGTGTACGCATGAGGCACAGTAAGTGCAGACTGGTTGGGCTTTGCAGCAGTATCAGGTGGCAATTGCTGGGACTGGGGGCAAGTCCTGTCAAGCTAGTCAGCAGAACCACCCAGAGAGTGCAAGACTCGGGATTTGGTGTGGACCTAGTAGGGTAACTGTGGGCACCTCTCTGATGGGTTGCAACTCCCACTGGTGAGCATGAGAACCAGGACTAGGGGCAGGACTAGCTTGACAGGTGCTGGCACCTGCTGGCATGAGGGTGGGCTGGATAGTGGGGTTGGTTGGGTTAAGTTAGGCTTTAATGCCCATTTATGTGTACTAGAACTGAATGGGATGTGGGACAAACTGGATCAGTCTGCCGTACATCTGGCAAGCACAGGAACCAGGGCTGGGAGTGGGCCTAGCAGGGGTTATTGAGGGGTGCTCTAACTAGGCTGCAGCTCCTGCTGGTGTAGGTGAAGGCCAGAGCTGTGGTGAGTGGTGTTGGGCTGGGCCACAGCATCCATTGGTTTGCATAGGAAACGGGGCTGGAAACAGAACTGATCCAGCAATTGCAACTATCAGCATGTGTGTAGGCTGATTTGGGTGATGGACTGAGCTGGACCCCATCCCGGCAAACACACACAAGAATCAAGTCTGGGATCACCTCAGATGAGGTTTCTTTGGGGATCCCTCCAACTGAACTACTGGACTCAGAACTCTAACCTTGGTGAAAATCACAGGATCTGTGGTCTGACAGTGGAGTGCATGTGTTAGACTGGGCCTCCTCACTAGCTTAGGTGGAGCAGTGGATGGCATGCCCAGATGCACATGGAGAATATGGCAGTCCATGAGGACCTGCAGAGGACATCTGGTATTATAGTAGAGGAAGGACAGAACAAATTGATCAACTATCATAGCCAAGTGCTGACAGCAAATATCTGGGCTAAGGTGGACTATGTCAGCCAGTGGACTTTAGAAGGATTTCCTCATTCTTGGATTGGGGAGACTGACAGCACTTCAGAACTGTCAAAACTACTTAAGCAGAACCCTTGGAGCAGGCTCCACATTGGGGACCATGGGATGACATCAGGTGGCTGTCCCCCATCCCTGGGTACTGAACCAGTTGGGAGACTGGGTGTGGTTTCTTCCCTTCCTCTAGATACAGGAAGAAGAAAGTGAAAGCAGTGGTCTCACCCACTTTCCCCTAATACTTGAACCTTCTCACCCCAATCAACTATATAAACATTATCAAAAACAAAAGTTAATTTTTATTTATGGCAGTAATTCAGAACTGTTGAACTACAGAATCCTCTTGAGCAGGACTCTCAGAGCATGCGCCACATCGGGGGTCCTGGGGTGGTGTTGGGTGATTGTCCTCCATCCCAGGGTGCAGGGTCGTTTGGAAGGCTGGATGTGGCTTCTTTACTTGTCCACTCACCCCTCTTCCCTCAGATACAGGAAGGAAAAAAAGAGAATGTGGAATTGGTGATCTCACCCACCTTTCTGTAGTCCTTGACCCTATTACCTTAGTCAACTATCATCAAAAATAAATAGAATTAATTTTTAAAAAGAAAGAAAATAGGCCTACCCAAAGGCCAGATAGAAAATGAGTCTGTCACATAAGAACCAGGCTTTGTACAGCCGTTGGGTAGAAATTTGAATGCTGAGATAAGGAAATACTTGTAACAGCTCAGAAAGTTCCAGAAATTGTGACAGCTCACGGCTGACCACCACATATTTGTCTTTGTACTTCCTGAGTGGTTGCTCCCTTGCGGTCCAAAATCCCACACACTTGCCCTATGAAAGTTTCAGACAAAAGATGGTCAGGGCTCAGCCATTTTGGAGTGATTCAGGCTAATGCTGTTTGGAAAAATAAAAATCCTTTCTTCTCCAAAGTGGCTATGTGACATCACACAGAGCCGGGCTGACTTAGGAAGATACGGTTTTCTCAGGTTAGGCTGCAGAGTGATTCAACGTGTCCCGTATGTCTCTGCATTCCACTGGAAAATCCAGGGTATGAACAATGGTACCAAAATTTCAGCAGTGCTCTAAAGCAAGCATCCAGTTTCACCAGAAGGTGACTGAGAAGTGAGTTCTTGGTAACCTGCCACAGGCTTGAGCCTCCACACCAGAACTTGACAAATGGCCTCATCAATCATCTACCCCAAGGCCATGGCTATGCTGCAACGGAGAACAGGAGGCCGTCGTCCTCTCTCCTTCTCTATCTTCACTTCTTCTGATGCCCTAACATTGCTCTGCACGGGGATTACCTGGGAATTCTGTTCAAATTTCCCAAGAGCTCCTAAGTTTGGGCAGAGCCTGGGAGAGAACATATTCAATAAGCACTTGGGATGGATGGTGTTGCTGCAGGTGGTCCAATGCCAGATCAACCAACATTTCCAGAGATGACTCATGAGGTAAGGGAAGGGGAACTGTTCTGAAATTCTGAATATCTCAGTCATAGAGCAAGAAATCTAAGAATTTAGGGTGGATAACTGCG